CTTCGTTATCCTGCAGTCACGACTCTAGAGCAGGGATCCTCAAATCTTGCCCACGAGATCCACGTTCCTGCAGAGTTTAGCTCTAACCCTAATCAAACACACCTGAGCATGCTAATCAATGTCTTCAGGATCATTAGAAAATCACAGGTAGGTGAGTTTGATCAGGGTTGGAGCTAAACTCTGCAGCGCATTGGACCTCCAGGGTAAGATTTGAGGAACCCTGCTCTAGAGTATGGGATCAGATTCCCGCCAAATGTATTGCAGTCATGGATAAAAAAAAATAAGGAGCGTGAAACCAAAATTTAAAACCGCAAGTAAAATTATATTGCACAAAATTTAAAAATGAAAGTTTTCAGAATAGCAAACAATGTCCACGGATAAAAAAAGAAATGTAAATAAAAAATTTAATAATGCATTAAAGGAAAAATAAGCACAAATCAAAACTTTAAACACATTTAAAACCATATTGCACAAAACTGAAATATTAATGCAAAATTATCCGAATTGCACACAAAATCATGCATTTCCTTGGTTATTTTTCTCAGTTTTTTGTGCTCTCAGATATTTTCTGCACATATTTTAAATTGTTTTGTATGCTTATGCTGTTTTTCCCGTCGCTCTTTATTCCACGTTCTGCGCTTCTTCTTCCAAATGTTGCGGTTAGAGTTTCATGTAATCATTGGTCGACTAGTTCTTGATTGACAGCTCCTCCTCTAGCCAATCAGTCGAAGAGGGGTGGTGACGTCACTCCAATGCACCTCATTACTGTCGATGCTCAGTGTTTTGTTCACTTGCACAGGTGAAAATGGACAACTGTCAGCTGGGAAAAATCTTTCCATACAGGATACCGTTATATGTGTCTGTCTGTCACTGCTGTATGCCTACCTGGCGATCCGTTAACGTTAAATGAGTAAATCTGTAAATTAATTTTTAATTAATGTAATGTTTTTGCATTGAAAACGATAGTGCTACAGAGTAGATTGTTACAGAGGCCAGGTGGATTTGATATACACATGATTTATTTGCATATTGTGTTTATTTACATAGCTACATATATAATTTCCTAACACTGTCATATTAATGTTTAAAATATATAAAGATTGAACATAACAACAATATGAAAGTAAAACAGCCAGTAGGTTGCAGCAAGTTTCTATCTTTAGAGTAAGACATTAAATCATTCATTCAAATGGCTGATTCATTCAGTGAGGAATAAAGCGAATCATTCAATACGAAAGGCTGCTTGTTGCTTGTAGAGGACACTGTTCTGCTGTGGCTTTGTTTGGACTCATCGACGAAATATAGAGCAAAATGAGAAAATAGTTAACTCACTCAAAATATACTTCTTGTTATATTGATTCAGTTCAATAAACATTTGCAATGGTCCTGATATTAGGAAAAACACTCTTACTTGTGTTTTGATTAACTGTATGTCATAAAATAAATTGTAGTGTCATTCTTTACAAACAATATTTATTTTAAATGCTAAGCCTATGACTCATTTAAAATGAAACAAAAAAATTAACCTCCTGCTGGGCTCACATACCTCTCATTTCCATGAGTGAATCCTTAAGACACAGTGTAACATTTGGTTGATAAACTATTAGCCTATTTATTTTGTAAAGAAGGCTTTGCACTTCTCTCGTATCTGAATATCTACTTAAACAACATGCTTCACATATGCAAAAAATGTGTTTGGAAAACACCAAGGCATGGCGATGCTCGGACTGACCGGCAAAACCTACATATTGTACAAAAGACAAGCTAAATTGATTCACCAATACCTTTTGTATGCTTAGTTATCTCATTTACTTTGATGATGAAGAGGCTGCAATGTAAAAATTGCAGTGATAGAACTGATTATGTTGTGTGCCCGCAGGAGGCAACGGCGCGGACACTTGGGTTACTCACATCATCGGAAAGATGTGATATCTATCAGATAAGAGCAAGACATCATTCAAAACTATCTATTTTTAATTTGTGTACCTTCAAAATAATAGTGAAACGTTGTACTTTTGTAAAATGAAGAAAACACGCAAAATGCACTTGACGTCTCTGTGAACCTCTTCCTGAAATTAAGAAAAAATAAGCGATACTGTCTAACAATATACTTGTCACACAGAATGAGAAATATATTTATAGAAACCTTGAAGTGCCCACTTTTACCTGTTTACGTTTTGCTTATTTGACATTAAATGCATTATATAAGTCACTTTGGAATATAAATCATAGCACGTTCAGAAGATTAAAAAAATGCAATGTGTAGTCCGGAAAATACAGTATAGCAAATTATTTTGCGGGACCCCCTGGCTTTGGGTCACGATACGGACCCCAGTTTGAAAACCCCTGCTCTTACTCATATTATGCTCTCCTAACAGTAATAACCATAACAAGACTCATAATCAGTCAGGTAAAGGCGGGCCAAGCACATCAGTGACTTCGCGAGGCCGGTGCATTTAGTGGCTGCTCCCTTTTGCGATGTGACCGGAGGCGAATAAACACAGGTGAATATAACTGCGACAGGTTGCTAGGATGGCTCATTTAACGTTAACGGATTCCCAGGTAGGCGTACAGCAGTGACAGACAGACACATATAACGGTGTCCTGTATGGAAAGATGTTTCCCAGCTGACAGTTGTCCATTTTCACCTGTACAAGTGAACAGAACACTGAGCATCGGCAGTAAAGAGGCGCGTTGGAGTGACGTCACCACCCCTCTTCGACTGACTGGCTAGAAGAGGAGCTGTCAATCTAGAACTAGTGGACCAATGATGATGTTTAAGTCCGCCCTGATTTACATGAAACTCTAATCGCAACATTTGGAAGAAGAAGCGCAGAACATGGAATAAAGAGCAAAAGGAAAAACTGGATGCACTGGATGGTCCTCACTGGATGCAACAAATGCCTCGTTTATAATGGGTTTTATTGTTTTTCTCTCGTCGCGCTGGGACACGGCATCACAATATGGTGAGGGGCGTAACATTTCCATCACACGCTTGAGGTATTCAGCCAATCACAACGCACTGGATAGCTGGCCAATCAGCGTACACCTCGCTTTTCAGAACGATGAGCTTTGTAAAAATCGACGCGTTTCAGAAAGTTGCGGCATAGAGAAGAAACAATAATGTACAGTATGTGGAAAATAATGTGGTTTTTTTACCTTAAACTGCATAAACACATTTCATTACACCAAATACACAAAATAATGTTATTTTTTTGCAACAACATATGACCCCTTTAAGAGGACTATTATTTTGCTGAACAGAACTGAAGAACAACTGATGATGTCACAAGTTCAACTTTGGCAGAAAGGGGCGTCTCATGACCGCCTACATGTGAAAAACGAATTTTGAAGTCATTTATCCGTTTTCTACCCGTGAACCAAAAAACGAAAACTCAAGCAGAAAAGACTACAAACCCTGCTAAAAAAAAAGATGGTCTCCCACCCCCACCAAGCTGTTGTTTAAAACTAGCCAACAGACGAACAGACTGGGTGACAAGTTAAGACCAGTAAACCAGTTTAGTATATACAGTATATATATATATATATATATATATATATATATATATATATATATATAAAATTCCCCTTCAAGCAGCGAAAGCATCACAAACAGTGATGGGTTACACTTTATTTTAATGTGTCCTTGTTACAGTGTAATTATACATATAAGTACTGAGTAATATTAATTAACTAC